GATGAAATGAAAGACGAAATCGTCCATATTTCTACAGTGAAAAAGGATCAGCATCCTGAATATAATTATATGTTGTAGATTTTTGATAAAGACTCGTGACACAAAATGTGAAGGATCGACTTCTGATACATTAAATTTAAAAAAGAACATATACATTTGTTCTCTAAATACATGCTTATTCAATTTGATTTAAATCATAACTTACAAGAGATTGTATTTGTCAAGAAGATCATAAACAATAGCATCAATCAGAATTTGTCGATTTGTGCAATGTGGACCAAATTTTTCTAAAATTCCATCTTCAATATCTTTGATCAATGCCTTTGGCAATAGAGGAATTTTATAATCATCTGGAAAAGCTATATTAATATCTGCACCAACGTCAGAATGATCAGATCTTGAATAATCCCTAGATTCTTTTGATAAAGAATCAGTTGCTGGTACGGGAACAAAAGAAGATGGTTGAGAATTGATTGGAACCATCGATGTTGTTTGAGAATTGATTGGAACCATCGATGTTGTTTGAGAATTGATTGGAACCATAGATGTCGTTTGAGAACTGATTGGAACCATAGATGTCGTTTGAGAACTGATTGGAACCATAGATGTTGTTTGAGAATTTGTTGATATATTAGATAACGAACCATCACATTGAACAGAATAATCATTAATTTTCTTGAATAATTTTTCACGTTCTTCCAAAACGAGCAGCTGTTGTTTAAATTTAGGTATTAACTGTGATATTCGCTCAACACTGTTCATCATCTTGAGAGTTTTTCCATCAACATCGTATTCTGAAAAAGAAATACAAATAATTACATTACAGTCAAAGGATAGTAAGGAAAATTTTTGCTGTATTCGAAAATGTCTATTTGAAAAATCGAGAAAATAAGTTTTAGGTATCGGTACTATCTTTTCCCCACTGTCTCTTGTTCTCTTCCTTATCAGTTTCTCTTGATTATTCATATTTATTATCTGAACATGATAAATTTATGGATCGATTCTTTTTGTGCTGGTTGGTTGTTATTCTTATCAGTCAGTGGAATAAAAACTCGAGTCAATAATAATTAGTTTAAAAAATTCAGACTAAACACTAAAATCCGCATCTTTTTTTTCTATCATGTGAATGAAAAAATAAAAAGCATACATTCAAATAGGAAAAGTATCATAACTATTTCAAATATATAATGTTCCAAAACATAGCGCCCCCTCCCCCTTTAAATCCTATAATCTTATAGGTGATGAATCTTGGTCAAATGTTTCATTATGGTTACACAATAAAAGCCTCTGATATGTTTCTTTATTCTACTAAGTTTACAAGTTAAAATTACGATTTCTAATCTAAGGATGAAAATCGATATCATTCTCAGTCTTTTCAATATCATATCTATCTGTGCTATTGCTATCAATGTCTCACAATACGAATGCAATAGAAATAAAAATTGAGAAAGATTAATCGAATTATAAAAATGATATTTTCAGTAAATTTATGAGGTGCAAGTTTTGAAACGTTATATATTCAGTGTTCATTAATACGACGTGATGCGAGTGGTAAAAGAAACAAAACTCGAGTTGTTCACTTGATAAATATCTAATCCTTTATAATAATATTTTAATTGACATGGATCAAGAATAGAGTAACGATCAATTGACATGATTTCCCACGCGAATAATTCTTCATCGTACGAAATAGTATCAAGTATATCCACCAATAACCACCATTTCTCATCCATTTTGATAATAAGAATAATTTGTGCGAAAATTGGTTGTTCATTAAAAGGTTTTACATTGATTATGTATACAGCTGATTGACAATATTCGATATTCTCATGAATCAGTCTATTACATTGATTTAAATCTTCTTCAAGATCAATAGAACCAAAATGATCTAGTAACACTTTTTTCATGGACATATTAAAAAATGTGCTACGCACTTTTTTAATTCCTACTACATAATCGAAAGTTTTTAATCGAGATAAATTGGCGAATTTAAAACATTGTTTAAGACGATGACGTGTTGCAAGCATCTTGGGAGTATTTTTAAAATTATTTGTTCTCATAATGATTTTTTTAAAGTAAGCGTGGCACGCTTCGTATCTGAAACACCACTGCTTGCTTGGTGGGCCAAAATCATGTGTTATTCGTTCATATTCACGAGCAAAATGAAATTTTGGTACAATTTTATCTGGAAAATGTATTAGCATCTTTTGATGAAGTGACTCACAAAGATCGCCAAGCACAGGTAGCCAGCTTTTTCTGAAAGGGTATGATAAAACTAGATCTAAGATTTCGCGTAGAACTTTATATATAATAAATGATGGTAAATGGTGAATAATATCATGAAAGATTATTGGAAACAATTTGAAAATGCACAACTTCTGAGAAGCTGTGGCAACAATTCTATCGTTTTGAAGATGCTTTACTTGAATTGGTGGTGGTCGATTGTTGGTATCAAAGTAACCATATTTGAAAACTTCCATTCGTTCTTGAATACGAACTTGAAAGAGGAGAAAAAAGAAGTAAAAACGTTAAAGTACTTTAAAATCATTGATAAGAGAGTATCAAGCTACGTTTTACTGTGCTTTCTATACAAAAAATTACAATTATTAAGAAATTGAATCGATTTCTATCAATCCTAACGGTGCGTGTTTAAATAACGTTCTCATTAGCTTTAGTCATTACAAATTGATCCTAAAAAAGTTAGTAAGGTGTCATTGGTCTCTGAACATTCGATGATTACCACAAGAAACGAAACTAAAATCAAATGAAAAACAAGGATAATTAAATTTTACAACAACTTTATCATTATATCGCAAAGTTGCATAGCTATCGAAACATTCACCATCCCTAATCTTGAAAACTCATTAAAATCGGAAACGAAAAGAGAAGATTCTCGAAAAAATTTACATCCAAACTATTCTATATATTTTTTCATTAGATTGTGTAAAAGTACGAAAGGTGCTCTCAGAAAAATAATAAAAGTGATTCACATTGAACGCTGTATAACTCAGTCGATTATTATCGTGTTTCTCTATTAAAAAGTAACTTAATTTGCGAAAAACAGAAAAAATAAAGACCAAATTTATTTTATTTTGTTTTTGAAAGAATATATGGGAAATTGGAATGATAGGAATGTATATGATAAGCGCAAATAAGGAATTGCTTCTCACCGTATGTTATAAGACGTCTCGATGAAGCTTGTTTCAGTAGAGACATTACAACCATCGGGCATATTCCTTCAAGAAAATCATGCATACAGTCACCTGGCAGTGAGACTATTGGATGAAAACCAATAAGATCATGCAATGGACTCTGATCTATCACACCCATCAAAGAAGATTCATTAGGATCATTGATGATTTCTTGAACTAAATCATCATGATCAAATACCGTTCGAATTTTAATTTGTGACAATGGAATAGGTGAGTTCTTCTCCGCATAGGTGACGTAACATCGCCGACAAAAATTTCCACTATTAAAACATGACCGAAAGTCACCAACAAAATGAGCAGCGAGATTATCCGCAACGACAGTCGAAAATGAAAACTTATGATGAATACCATTGATTAGAAGGCCATTAAGTTGTAAGTGGTTTAAATTATCGATAATCGGCTGAAAGAAGCGTTTAGCCTTGATTTTGTCCTCGAAAAATTGAAAATATAAGATATTGTAAATTCCTTATGGTATGATGTAGGTTTTAAACAAAATGTATTAGATAAGAAGAATGAAATTTATTGTTTTCAAGGAAAAAAAATAAATAAGAGCTTTTTCTAATAAATAATTTATTTTATTCTATCTATCAACTATTGAAAATGTTTTGAATGACAAAACTTATTTTTTTATTCCAATTTATCCTCAGAGCTTTTACCTTTAGAATTTTACTTTCGCAAACAGCAACTAACTGAATAAAATCAACTTTTGATCGAAGTTGATCCGGAATATCTTCAAGTGAAAAGTAAACCATACACATTTTATGTTGATCACGTTTTGAACCGATAGGATTTGTCAATCCAATGTCATCTAAGTATAGTTGTAGCAATAGGCTATCATGATCTAATCTACTACCATGATATCCATCTCGAATAGAGAACATCAAATCGTCATCGTGTTTAGTGATTGCTTGTTGTTGTTGAATATTTTCAAGAATCTGAACAGCAAGTGGCTGATAATTCAGCATTGATAACAATGTGTTTTCAATTGGAATAAAATATGCATGTTCTGAAACTTCACCAACAGATGACAAAACAATTTCTTTAGGCGAACTGTAGGCAAAATATTTTTCACAATGTTTGATAAATTGATATTCATTTTTGGTAACCGATTCGATTGCGTCGCGTATATCATCGAGTATCTGTTTTAATTGATCGAATTCAATAGCTTTTTTCTTTTCTTTTCTAGAAGATGATGAAGCGGAATAATCACTTTCTGGAGAATAATTAATTGCTTTTTTTCCCAAAAACATTTCTATATTTTGTATTAATGTTGTGATGTAACTAGAAATAATACTCGTAACATTTTTCGGTAGTAAAAATTCTTCCCGTAACTTTAAGATAAATAAAACATGCGATCTTTTAATGTCCATCATTGATCCTAGTGGTTTCTCATCACTATTGGTTGAACTAAATGATGAGGCGGAATCATAAAACTCTGCTTCATAATCATCTTCTGGTAGCATTGATTCTAGATTATCATCAGCAAAATCTAATGGATCATTAGTATCACCAATAGTTGAATCCGACCCAACAAGCAAATTCATATTTTCTTCTTGTAGACCAACAGCAGGAATTGTATCTAAGTTTTTCTGATTCTTTTCTGTTGAATGAAGTTCAGATAAATGTTGTCGATAAATATGAGATTTATATCCTGAATATGTTTGATATAAAACACCACATGTACTATGTAAATCACAAGTAATTTCGAAATTCGATTCATTTTGATGATAAATTGTGATGTGTTGAAACATTTTAGCAAGGCTAACGAAATTTCGATTCGTCAAACAAAGTGGACAAATGAATGATGACATGAATTTTGAGATGAAGCGCAGAAGATAAAAATGAAAGGTGCTATTAGGCTTATATAAATTAGTCTAATGAATATAATTTATGTTAGTCTGTTTACTTGACGATTATTTTTCGAAGAACATAGATGAACAAAAAATGAAAAAGTACTACAAAAGAATGGATTAGAAATAATGTAAACTATTCCATTCTTTTCTTTAAAACAAACGCAAACTACTACTTTACTAGAAAAAAAAAGAAGAGAAAGCTTAACCTAGAAGAAAGTAAACAAACACTTCAACCAGTAGTATATCTGACATGAATTACTAACATGCATGAAGAGATAGCGAATACGAATAAATACCGAGAAATAGTTTCAGCTAGCAAAAAGCATGCATTTCTCTAATACATTAAAACAGACAGACCTTCAAATCGAGATAAAATAGAATCATCATCGATGAATAATTTACACCATTGAATAACTTCTTCGCATGACCAGTTCATTGTTTGATAATTTAGTTATCTGAAATTCTAAACAAAAATTTTCCACCTAACTATCTACAGAAAGTATCATTGCCATCATATCAAAAGATATACAACCATACGAAACCATAACAATAAATTCTTTTCTTTGATCAAATAGTCTAGTTTTAGCTACTGCTTCACCTAATCACGAAAACTTTCAACAGATGGGAACATCAAATTGTTAATCGGCTATTTTGCAAACAATACCCAAGCGCGAGGGAAAAGATTAAATAACGTGTTCCAAATAGACGAACGCATAGGAATGCACTCATAATGCATTCGGTAGTGGTCACACGATTACAGCGCGTTTGTTGCAGAGGTCACTTTGAAACATATTAAGAAAATGTTGACTTATAAGAAATCAAATAATATTGAACATTTTTGTAATATTCTTTAAGCTAAAAGCTGATTTATTGTTTCTGATGTTTCAGTTGATATTTTGGTTTATAAGATTGATAAACCTAATTGAATTTTTCGATCACAACATGATCTCTTCTCTATCTACGGTACAGTAATTCATCACTTTCGTATATAATTATATACACTTATTTTAATTAGCACAGCTTCAGTTTAAAAAATAACGAAATTGAAGATATCGGGAACAAATATAAAAGAGATCTGATATTTCGACTCAGAAATGTTTTTCTATCTTTTTAAACTAATAAATACTATTACTGTTTTTTTTCAAATAGCAACATAAACGGTGCTAATATTTTGCTTAATATTGTACTTGGACGTTAAATTGATGGCAAAGAGCGTGAACATGTTTGTACGACAGCAGATAATCAATTCGAACGGCTTGTTCATCAACATGATAATAACAATTTTACAGTTATTCTGTCTTATAGTTTCGAATAGTTTCAATATCAGATAATACTAATGACAGTCATGATGTTCAATCAATGAATCTTGGATTATCTGAAGAACATTCAAATCAATTTGTTCCGATTTAAATCATTTTTTTATGATAGGAATGTCGTCAAGAACATTTTCTTTCTGAATTTATAAAAAAAAACATTAATTATTAATAAGAAGACGATAATGCTGATAAAGAATCAATCGCTGCTGCAGTTAAGATTTAAGCATTATTGAATCAATTATATTATAGTTAATTTTTTCTAGCGTGGTTGTTTGTTTTACTTGTAAAATTTATTATGTGAACATTAGTTCATCATTTTTTTATATGATGAACTGAATTCTCTATTTTTTCTCAATCATATGCCTTTGAAACTGATAAACATGTGTTAATTTCAGAACAACCGTAAAAATCTTGATGTTTGTTTTACATTCAGATATATGTTTCCTACTTTTTTCTTTATTTAGCTATCTATACTTGCTCTTGCATGTGATAATTGTAACTGTTCTCAGTCGATCACGCATTCTTTATTTGTACGGATATTATTTTATTATTTCGTGCAGAAATGAACAGAATGGAATGAAAGTAGAAAAATATCTTTTGTATTCACTGAAGATAACTATTGGCTCAATCTATAAACTAATTGAAATGAGCGTTTGCCATCACATTGTGTGCCATCTAATACGCTCTCTCTTTCTGTTATCATCGATGTGAGACGAGATTTAAAAAAAGTAGCGTGGCACATACTTCAAGTTAAAATTTTATTTAAGGAAGCTCTAATGCATGGAAATCGAGATATAATCAACATTAAACTAAGAATAATAAATCATTTTTAAGGAGCAGATAAAATAATCTATGCCTTAACGTGGAATAATAAACCATTTCAACGAAGTGGTAGAAGAATCAACTTCTATACGTAGAAACATGGACTCTTGAACAGGAAAGGTTGAAGAATCAACCCTGTGCGCAGAATAATAAATTTTTTGCAAACCAAAAAGTAGAACAATCAATATTTGTACGTAGAATGATAAACCCTTACAATCAAAGAGTGGATAGATCAACTTTCTTACAATGAACAATTAACTTCTTTCAATAAAAAAAAGCAGTAGAATCAACCCTCAACCAACGAAGAAAGTATCCCTGTAAATGCAAAAGTAGATAGGTCGATATCTATCGGTAGAATAAAAAACCCGTCAATGAAGAGCTATAGAGTCACGTACAATAATAAACCTTTTTTTATTAAGAGGTAGATGAATCAACTATCGAACATAGAATAATAAACCCTTCGAAGGAAGTGGTAAAATAATCTACCCTTAGGCGTAGAATAATGAGCTGTTTCTGAGAAGGGTAGCATACTCTACCCAGTAAGGTAGAGTAATATACCCTTGTAACGAAAAAGTAGAATAGTAAACCCTAAAATGAATAATAAAATACCCTTATCTTGAAAGAGAACAACAATCTACCATCATCCGTTGAAGGATATACTCTTACCATAAAATCGTAGAATAATGAACCCTTATGTACCCATCATATACCCATTGAGTTTTCATAAACCCATGGCTTCATAAACCCTTCGACTAATAAACGCTAAAAGGGTTCATCACATCGGAATAAACCCTTCAAGGGTTTATTGGTGATTTTTTTAAGTGCAGGGGTAGATCATTACCCGGATTTTTTTATCAGTGTAGAGCATGTAACGAGGTCTTCGTCAAAATTACCTTGTACACGATCAGCTGCTATCGAATTGCTTTGTTCAACACTCTTGTTTGAATCATTATTCATTTTTTTTAAAGTGCGTTCTCTCTCGTTACAATTAGAAAATGTTTTTTTCTTTCATTTTTTTACTCTTATCGTTTGCATAGGCCATGCCACGTGACGGTGCGGGTGTGGAATAAATAGAAAAAATGAGCTTTTCAAAAGAAAAGAAAATGAGTTTGTTTTTAGGTTTAAGAAATGAGCGAGAAAATATATTTCACTTTTATGAATAAGAAAAAAGTGCACTTGTTTGTGGAGTCATAAAAAGATGAATTGGAGTTTTGTTGTTCAGGCAATGGCTATAGTGAGTAAATGAACGAGAGGAAACTTGTTTCAAATGAATTTAAAGATGATTTTTAATTTAATTTTATCGAATTTAACAATGAAGAAACAAATTTTAACACAAAAATTGTAATAAGCGGCGCTTATCGAATAATTATTGAGGCTAGAGGGACTCATTATTTTTTCTCCTTCTGTTCGTTCTATTCTTGTTCTTTTTTCCACTCTCGTTCAATCCGAAAATTTTCATAGGAGAGTGAGGGGGTGCCCATAGAAACAATTCCGTTACTTTTCAATGCTGCAAAACGCGTTAATGTGGACCGGTTAAATGCGTTCCATAGCTGCTAAATCGATTGAAAACGCCACGAGATGCTATACTTTCCATTTTCATCCCGAAATAGTGGCTCCCAAACGCCTTTTGAGTAAATGGAAAAATTGGTTTTACACCTTTCTTACCATGAGAAACGCTGCGAAACACGTTAAATCGGTCAGCATTAACGCATTTTACAGTGAATATATTTTAATTTTCTATCCCATGGGTGTGCGGTGAGGCAAGCACCCATGATTCAGATTTCGACCTTGCTTAAGGGTGTCGTCAGATAGAAATGACTTTACAAGACGTGTTTCTATGAGTTCTATCTGAAACACATAAGAAGAGAAAAATAATTATTCTCAGGGAATAGAGATCTAGATTTGGAATACTAAAGTATTGCTGGCTGGAAATGGTGGAGCATTATTTTCGTGTTTATTTATAGTTGGCGCAATAGTGGTTTATTTGAGCAAGAAGTTTTTACAAAAATTCAAATTTTCACAGTCTTAGAGAGTACTCTAACAAGTTATTTATTAATTCTTATACGTTCTTATTTCGTCTTTATATGTGTTGTGTTTCTTATATGTGCAATCCATCTCGAGATGCACATAGGTCAACCGTTTTTTTTTCATTCTTTCTTTCCTCCCGTGCGTGACGATGTAAATCATGGCATCGATTCTTTGAGTATAATTTAAGTAGATTTATAGAATGATGCACCATCATCTTTATATACAAAATAGCCTAGTCAAAAACTAAAAATGCCTTTTCTTCCTTTGTTTCTTCTTCTTCTCTCTCTTGTGTGTGTGTGTGCTGTACAGTATAAATAGGGAAAAACCAAAATAATAAAAGAGATTATATTCGATAAGGGTAGAGATTACGATTCAGATTAGGATTTGAAAAAAAGAAAGTGCAGTTTATTGGTTAGGAAGAACCTCAAATTTCGATTGTGTGAATTGATTTAAGTTACAGTGTGGTCCTCTGTAGCACTGGTGCCGTGACCCGGGACCTTCAGATCGTAATTAACAAGTTGGAAATATTGAACTTATCAACTGAAGATTAGACAAAACATTAATGGGGAAGATTCTAATTTAAATTTTTCAAGAAGTGCAATCTCGTTACAACCTTCCATCACATCATTCTTCTACACAACGATCACCTGTTCAACTCATCGACAATCATCAAAGTCTAACGATTACGACAATGACTGAAGCAGTAAACTGAGCATTTGATAGTAATATTTCTTTTCGTCGTTCTCCAAAAGATAATTCAGGGTGTGGCTGTGGCTGTAATTGTTCATTTTG